TGAAACACTTCAAGAAATTATACATGACTGTCACGTGATCAACAGTCATTTGATATCATAACAAATATGTTAATATATTGCAATGGGAACCTTCTATATAAATTGTAAGTACTAAAGGTACAATTCTTATAAATTAAACCAAAACCGAGCTCGCAATGAAATATGTTTTGAGCGCATTTGGGAAGCCTTAACATAGCTGCGACCTCCACCAAAGAAGATTTCATCGCAGATGATATACTCAAAAATGATATTCTCAGCAATGTGACCGATATCTTTATGTTTACAGTAGACAGCATTACCTTTGCCCATAAACCTAGATAAAGGAATTAATAACTATGGATCAAAGCTACTGGCTCTGCGTAAATCTAGCGGACTATGAATACTCAATAGACTTCATAAAGCATGCAAAAGACATGATTTTTACCTTTATGAGACAAGAAGATTGAGTGTCGTTGACTATTGTATCTTGAAAAGCCCATCCCAGTGTTCTCGATATAAAGTAGACTTTGATGATTTACCATAACTGATGATGAAAAGTCTTTTAAAAACCTGGTGGTGATGAATAGTCCAACGAAGAAACTGTGAACACGGGAATGGGCTTTGCAAGATCTTTTAATTATCTTTTTTTCTCAAGGATAAGACTTCTTCGATACCACGGTGCAGTTTACTCTTTTTTGTATCACGAAAATATGTTTATATTTTCTGTAGAGCAACACCCTGTTTTTTTTATAATATCGGATTTCTAACATTATCTAGAACTTATTCTCGATAAGCTTCAAGTACTTTGATTAATTGCAATTACTGATAAAGAAGAGTTGATGAGGAGTCCGACGGGAAAAAAGAAACTGTGAAGATGGGGTGATGAGGAGTCCGACGGAAAAAAAACCCTGTGAAGATGAAGAATCAGATGACAAAACATGTGTGACATTCTCGTTTATTATTATGGGAAAATAACAGGAACTTAATGTCAAATTCCAATTTATTGTTTACAGAAACACACATACAAAATTTTCATATATCTGGTGTCCATTACTGTGACAACAAACTGTCACACATACGATGATGTACATAAAACATTAGGTAACGTGATTTTTAGCTCTACTGGTCAGAAACCAGAAGAGCTTATGCGATAGTAAGGTGTCCGTCTGTCTGTAAACAATTTTTCAAAAATGCTACTCCTCCTACAGTTTTGGTCTGATTTCAATATAACTTGGCTCACAAGAAGACTACACTAAGATACATAATTTAGTGCATCGGTTTTCGATTTCAGAGAACGGTGTTGCCATGGTTACTAAAAATGGAAATTTCTGTGAATTTTTTTTTAAATGCTACTCCTGCAACAGTTTTGGTCTGATTTTAACATAAGTTGGCACACAAGTGGACTTCACTTTGATACATAATTTTGTGTATCTTTTTTTTATTTTGAGGAGGGTGTTGCCATGGTTACTGAAAAAAAAATTTCTGTGAAATTCCTTTAAAACACTTCTCCTATAGTTTTGGTCTGATTTTAATATAACTTGGCATACAAGTAGACTACACACACTAAGATACATAATTTAATGCATCCGGCTCGACGATGTGTCTGTAGGTGTAATTCCTTTTTTTTTTTTTTTTGGTGTTGTTTCCATTGATATGGTTTGTGAGTGTATTGTTATTGAAAACTTATGATGATGATGATGATTATGTGGGGTTAGAATGCAGTGGATCCGATTGCTGTGGTGTCTGACCTATAAATAGGGGAAATAGGGATGATTTTGAGTTTTTACTAGTATCTGAATTTAGCAGACTTTTGACATCATTAGTGTCATCATACACATCTGATGTCTCTCCCTCCTATTTTTTCCGGAAAAGAGCGCTTGGAGGTGGAAGGCTGGTCAGTGACCTTTTTTTGTGGGTTTGCTGCTGCTGATGCAGTAAATGCATCACCCATTTTGTTAATGCCAGTGGCAACAGATTCTATTGTGCTTTGAATTGTTTTCAATGCACTAAAGATGTTTTTTTTAATCTAATGATATTTCATCATCACAAGGCCCCAGTAGGGCATCCTCAACATAACCAATAGCCATGATACTTATTTAGAAAGTTAACCCTTTCACTTTAAAACGCGAGAAAGTCTAAGACAACGGTTATATCCCATTGTGCTTTGAATTGTAATTTTAATGATTACAATATTATATGTATACATTTCATGCAATTTTTCTTCATTTCATACCAGATCTTTGGCACTGTACAACATATGTTCTGGTTGAACCTAGCATCAAGCGTTTCAGGAACGCGCCTTGTCTCGCGATGTATATAAATCCTACTTGACCTCAATGAGCAATCAAATGCAACACACTCACAACGCGTGTCACATTGAAAATTATTGAAAGTTTTCTCTGAGCAGCATATCGAAAACGGTGTACATTGCCGAAAGTCAGTGTTTGATACTGCAAACTTGGTAAACAAGAACAGCGCTAATACACAACAGAGAGTACATTTTTGGTGGTATGAGATATCTACTAACTTTTTTGTCAGGAATGTCTTAAATATGTATAACTGTTAGAAACAGGGTGTATCCTCTATATGGTACTCAGGGCCATTGAGCAGTGAGGGATCTTTTCACGTACCAGTACCTACTGCAACAAGGGACCTCTGCTTATACGGTCTCATCTGAAAGATCGGCTCCAAGTCCCGCAGTGGAATTCGAACTTTTTGGGTTTTTCGCAAATTGTTAATATTTTGCGTAAAATAAACTTTAAAGATTATAGAAATATCAAAGAAAATTTTGTTGTAATTGAGATTTTTTTTACCTTCATATTTGTCGTAACATGAGCATTTGGCTCGCCTTCTTCGCCCTTCATCTTTCTTAAAATCAACCCCTCCCCCTTTTTTCAAACGTAACTGTATTCATGATTTCAAAAAAAGGTGCATTGCTTATTATGAAAAAGGAGCGAATTTTTACTTAGAATATGAACAATTTGGACATTAATATTCCCTGTTAATCTTGATCACTGTATACACGTACATCTCTCAATTTCACATGGAATCTAACGGTCCCTTTGTGTTACGTCGCTTGTTTCGTGATCAGAATGTACCTGGTTCGATTCTTGTTCCCGGCCCCGTGTCAAACTTGATGTCTATGTTAAAATATGCAGTGGCTGTTCCGTCCCCAAGCGCACGGCACGATAAGTAACATTTTGAGTTCTCATCATTAAGATGTAAGAAAAACCTCATGGCCGTAGGAACAGGGGGAGGGGATGGGGGGGGGGGGGGCACGGCCCCAAATAATTCTGCCCAGGGATTTATCAGTACCTTCTCAGGGGCCGAAATTCGGCCCCATTCCCAATTGAAAATGAGTTCAGTTTTTCCCAATTTGGCAGTATTTTTTCCCAATTGGTGAACAATGCTTTTATATTTAATTATCTTGGAAAAACACAAGGAAAATTGTCAGATTGTCTGTAATTTTCATCTATTTAAGTCATTTAGCAAAGCTACAGTCATAACACATGTTTAAAAACACTGTAAAAACATCGGGAACTTTTAATCCGAATTTCCTCCGTTTTTCTGAAAATGGTGATATTGTGTAATTATATAGATTTATTAAGTTATTTCTACCTACTCAATTGATCTACGTGTGAATGGTAAGGACTGTAGGCATTATTTCAAATAGAAAATTATATTTTCAATGCATTAATACATATTAAAAGAGGGATTTGAGAAAATGATTACTTGCAGGAGGTTTATATTCTCCAGAAAGATTTTGTAATGACCTAAACTGGAATCTCATACACACATGTACTACCCTAAGTTGTATAAACAATTTATACTCATTGAAGTCAATTTTACTTTTATTAGTCTGTTATTCATTATTGATCTTGTATGAAGTTGGATCATATATAATAGTCTGTTTGGTTGCCCAAATTAGAGTTCATGCTGAAATGTTAAATGAATTACACCTGAATACATGATTTAAGCAACATTTTTAATTTTTCCCAATTTCACCAAAAAGCCGATAATTTTTTCCCAATTCCCCAAAAATGGCGTTTCCCAAAATAGGCTGATAAATCCCTGCTGCCAAGATAATTCATACTTAAGAAAACAGCTACTATATGTTTGTACGAATTTTAGGAAATGCTGAGTGATGTTGTTTGTTGCCCCCCCCCCCCCCCCAACTGAAACTGCTATCTACATGATCTTGAGACAGGGACAAGAAACACAGCGACGGGGCCTTAGCTCAAGAGAAACATTAAGGCTCAGATAGATATCGATTTATTTATTGTGTAAAATCAAATCTTAGATAAAATCATTTCTTATCTAGCAATAAGTTGGTGTACTTTTTCGCAGGTGAAGTTCAACGGGGTAGTCAAAAAAGAAATTTGTCTTATTTGTTATCGGATGTATAGAAAATTAATTTGTAAAGTAAACAGACAAGTATTTATTGTTTAATTAATTTATTACAATGTATTGTTGTAGTTGTACAAGTTCTTTTTTTTCACTTAAAAATAATTTTTGTTATGTACGTTTCAAATTATGACCAAGAACAGCTTAGTAGTTCTCTATTTGTGAAACCAGGGGGAACTGTAAGTTTCCCTCTCACCTGTCCATCTCTCTGCCTGTCATTCTGCCCCACTTGGTTTTCTTCACTTTTATTCTAAACCCTTGCAGATTTTAAGCTGATTTTTTGGTATGTGAGTGTATCTTGAAGAGTTACAGATCAAATTTGCAATTGGTTCCACTTCAATGATTTTTGAATGGATTACGGCCTTTTTAATTTTAAGGATTGAACGCATTTTTTCTAAACGTTTGAGATATTGAGCTGATTTTTGGTATGTGAGTTTATCTTGATGAGTTTTCATTTGTGTTCCGCTTCAACTTTTTTGTTGTTCACAGAATTATGACATTTTCATGTTCTAATAGGAACTAGATTACACCTACTTGTATGGGACTAGTATTGATAATACAGTACTCTTATGTAAAGAACATGCTTTGAAAATTTGATATGCATTAAAGTGTCTGGGAAGTATGAAACAATGCTAGTTTTAAAATACGTAGAATTGTATAATAAAAACATTCCGTAAGTTTTACAGTCAGATTCGCAACGATAACGGAGATATTCCGGGTTAAAGTAGGCGGTTCTCGCACCTGTCTAAAACCAATCAACGCTACTTCCGGTTTTACCATAAATAGCGAAAAACCCCGCATGACGTCACATCACATCAAGTTCAAAATGGCGAGTACAAATAACAGCAGCGAAGCCTCCGATTCTGCGTCCGATATCGACTTACATATGTCGTTTGAGGCCTCATCCTTCGAAGAAACACAAGAAGAACATTTCCAGAATGTAGCCCCTTATCGATTTGAACCTGAGGCGAGTGATTCTAGTGAATCTGATGGCTCAAGTGAGGACGATGTCGACAACCCACAGCGGCTCGGCAATACGGACTGGTATGACTTTCACGTTAAAACTCTCTGGTATAATACAAAGAAAAATATATATTTTATACTCATAGAATTTCGCATGGTCTGAACTAATAATAATTAATAAAAATATTACTATATAAGCCAAATGTTGCGAGAAATGAGGCCATGTAAATTACACCCATGCAACATGGCTGAATATTCGTTCGGGACGACCATTTGAATCTTATGGGCTAGCAGATTTAGATCTATTCTTGAAAATTGTCTCAATGAGAAGGAAATAATTAATCTGATCTTGAAAAGTGGTATATACACGCCCAAAGAGTTTACTACTTTTTTGTAGCTTGTCAACTTTTCTGGTCTCTATAGTCATGGACATGTTTTTTTTTTTTCTGCGATGGCAGAAAATTAAGATGACAACTAAATTTGTCAGAACCTCTAACTCTGAGAATAAAATTTTGCCCCTTTACAGGCCCGTAGGAAGCAATTTCAGTTGGAGGGGGGGGGGGGCACAGCTGAACATTTTCAGTTGGGGGCGGGGGGGGGCACTATCAACTACCAAAATTCCTTGACAAGCAAAAAAAAACAGGTCATCAGACGTTTTCATTGAGGGGGCACAAGCAACAAGCATATAGTAGCTATGTTTTCTATAGTAATCTAGATATCGGCAAAATTATTTGAGGGGGACAACCCCCCCCCCCCTTCCTACGGCCATGCTTTATACCTGATGGTAAGTTGAAAACAAAAACTGTATTGCTCTATGCACATTATCTACATGTATGGGACTTCTGGAGTATTTTTTTTAAAGATTAAAGTTGATAAATAATCATTATGTCTAATGCATCTTCGTAAGCCAAGGGTTTTCGGTCTGCTTTGCGGGGAGAAAAGTGGACCGAAAACCTTGGCTTGCGAAGATGTGTCTAATATAACTTCCATGTAATCATGTTTGAATATTGTAGGTTCACTTGTGGAAACCCACACTCAGAGAAAGTATATGCTGCACTGAAATCACCAGGATTGATGAAAAGAGAACATCTTATCAGAAAGAATTGCCTTGCATTACAGAACACCCTGGATTCCAATCTGTTTGTCTCGACATCTACGTCTTGGAGACAGCCTATTATCAGTATCGTTCCCAGTACGGGGAATTGCAAAAGACCATTGAACAGTAAGACATTTTATTGAATTTTTACATATGTGTTCCAAAAATGAAATAAAGCATTTGAAGAAAATCACAAAGACTATCACAAGTAATAACAAGTGCATGATAACATGATTTTCTTTTATTCAATTACAGAAGAAACAGATATACAGCATATCGTCAGCTTGTTCGTTGGTGTTGGGGCTACCTGGGGAAGAGTGTTCGTGTCCCACTTCCCTCTTGTGCAGTTACAAAGATACACCATTCCTTCAGTTCTGAAGAGTATCAAGGATTCAGAGACCCTGAATGAGTAAGCCACTTCTATATTTTGGATTAACAAAAATTCATCATATTATCAACTTTTACTATCAATTTTACAAATTAAATAAATATAAAGTTTACACAGCATAAATCTTATAAATGAGAAATGGTTAAGCATAGGATACAGAAAACAACCTTGCCTAGTCACACATACAAGCAAAAAGCAGTTCAAAATAATTGACAAAACATAAGCCTCATGTACATATTACAATAAAATTTATAAAAGCATCAGCTACAAAAAAAATCTTGATTACATAGGTAAACAATTTTTTTTTGCACCCAGGAACGGGACGTGGACCCTGCTTTTTTTTGTTCCCATTTTTTTTTTTTTTTTTTTGCAATTTTATTTTTGTTTTCCTACATGCAAATTTACAAGTAAATGCTAACTATAACACTATTTATACAGTTATTTACAAACAGACTATGACAAACTACAGCATGAGTATCCACAACTGATATTTACAGTTCTATGTATACAAGGGCTAGAATCTCCTACACAGATGTCTCCTTCCTCCCAAACCGAGACTGGAAATTAAACACTGCTTCCTCCTTTTCAGGGTGAAGAAAATCACTGCACAGAGGAGGTGGTTGCAACTGAGGCAAACAGAGCGCAGGTGGAAAGGCGGGTGCTGGTGTCCGGGATGATACCTCAACGTATCGTAGAGTCTCTGTCATCAAATCAGATGCATACCCTGAAATGCATAGACAATATTTAAAATTTGTAAAATATTGAGGACTCTATCTCTGTTGATAAATACAAGTATCATTCTCGTGTTTTGCTTGGTATTGAATAAAATTAAATTCAACATATTTTGTTATTTATATATACATTTTTTTTTTGGTTGTTCAATTTTTAAATGAGGAGGGACTTTTACAATTTTTTTTTTAAAGGTGCGTTAATAAAAGCATCTTACCAAACGTTGAATCTACAGTCTTCATGCGAACACTATATTCGCCATGCTTGAACTTGGGAAAGCTGATCTTGTACTGCAGGTTTCCCTCCTTTGTAACTGCCTGCATTCTTGAAGAGTTCTCATTAAAATGGAGAGCAGCAACCATCAACCTACATAAAATTTTTAACCTTGTAGATTACAATAAATAAAATCTCCATCTGCTTTCTGTATTGTAGAAATTTAAATAAGAAATGATATAAAAAAATATCCAATATTACTGTGTAAGCATACCTGCAGTGCATGCCATGATAAGAGAAGGAATCCATCTTGGGGGCAAAGTGATTGATAGTGCTATGGAAAGCCTCAATCTGGGATGTTTGGTGCAGTGGGGACAGCTTGGGTATATCTTTCTTCATCTGATTGGACAGGATAATATCGCAAATCTTCTCACTGGCTTTCGTTCCTTTATGAAAACAAAATATATACTTATTGTACAGGATTTTTCCCTTTAACAAGGCAGTTATGAAATTTGCCAATAAAGAAAGTAATAATTATTTATCAATTCTAAAATAAGGTTTTACCTGGTTTTATCCACTTCTTTTTCTGCTCATCACCCTCTAACGTGTCATGGGCACAAGATGGGAAGAGGTCATTGTGGCCCTCATGAATATTGTGGATATGGTTTTCCACAGACTCCCACTTTGCCCACATGAAGTCCCCATTCCCATCAGGTGTTGAAGCTGCCACCCAGTACAAGTGGTTGGTCAAGCTCTTGATCCATTTGGCAAGATTCTCACACTCCTTCTGTTTGGATGCAGCTAGGATCTTTTTCTTTAGACCTGAAAATATTTTGGAAGCCATGTTTACAGAGTAAAATTAATATGTCCCATCTTAAGATGGGCATATAAAAATCATAATTTAACTGCTTCATTTCATCTTTTACATTCATAACTTTTTAAATCATATAATAATAACTTTGGAGATAACTCAGTAGAAGTCATTATAAAAGTTAAACACCAGCTAATGTTGATTCTGTACAAAGATGTCTTTAAATACATACAATTCAAATACTGGTAAAGAAAGAAAAGAAAAAGAATACCTTTTGCCACATGCCAAACATCATAATAGTGTGTCGTCTCCGTCAAGTTCTCCCTGATCCACTTTTGTATCTGGACATGGCGGTCAGTCACTATCGTACCAATCTCCAAATCTTGGTCTTTCATCCAGGCAATAGTCCGTTCTAATCCCTTCTTCTCCATTCCCAAGCTGTTTTTTACTTCATTGCTCTACAAAATTTAATCAGATTTCATATAACTTAACAAAACTTCAACCAAACACCTAAAGTTAGTACACATTTTTTCCCCTCATTAGATCCTTTTTAGCATTTTATTTTCATGTATACTTTGTTGAATCTTTTCAGCAGTGTTTGAGTGATTGTTTTATTTAAAATAATGATAAAATAATATTTTTTTTTAAAACAGTTCATCTTTAATTTAAATAAAAAGTATTTATCGAAATAACTTGTTTACCTGAACCAGCTGGATATCAATGACAATTCCTTCCTCAAGGTCAATGGTGCTGTACGAGCCAAACTTTGCACAGTGACCAGGGGAGTCAGCTCGCCCATCTCCACCAATAACCAGAGGATCTCCTCTTTCCAAAGCTCGACTTGCATACTCCTGCTGGTGCTTGTCCCACACACGAGCAATTACAGGAAACAAAATGGCTGACTGGAGGGAATTGAATGTTCTTCTGGTAATGGTTGCAACCCCCATGCAGTTCAGCACACGAAGAACTTTGGACACAAGGGCACCAGAAAACAGTATGGCGGCAGATAACCCAATGTTCCCAACAGGAATATTCCCAATGAATGGCTGACTGCTCCACTGCCAGGTAAACCCACAGAACTCACACTCCACAGCAATCTTCACCATTGTTCCAAGCACCTGCTGTACACTTGCTGCTGTATACTTGTGGCACCTCCTGCAGTTACTGAACAGCTCAAGCAGCTTGGTTTCGGAGATGATAAACTTCCTGTCTTCCAAGGGGTTGCAGGGTGCTTCAGTGCTACAATTTTTAAAAGATTAAATTAATTACAGGGAAATAAAAATTGCCAAAAGAATTGGGGCTAACATATTCATTTTCTCTTCATAGTAAACTTTTTGAAGCAATTCTTAGGTAACTAATCAATGACTATAGCCTAATCACTTACTTGATATCCTGTACATGAGAATCATCTGAACTAGTGCCAGAAGGTTCATATAATGAGGCAGTCTCATTCTCCGTCTGGATAGACTCTTCACCACTAGAGGAATCAGGAACAGGAACAGGTGCTGGAGGTGGACGTGGAGCAGGCAAATCATCTCGTACATCAACCTGAATACCAATGCTTCGAACTCTGGGTTGTAGGTCAACTTGTAATCCTATCAAATTACATATAAACATTATATGTCATTGTGAGAAAACAAGATTTTTCTCTTAAAGTTTATATTTAGGAGAAAGAACAACGATCTAATTAGTCTTATGCATATGAACTTGCAATTTTTTAAAATTGAATACTACACACAAATTAGGTACTGATAAGTTAAATGTTTTCCTCTCTTTTCAAAATTTAAAAAGAAATGGTGAAAGGGGGGTATATAAACGATACTACATAATATAATTCAGTTATAATAATCATCAATGAGTAAATATGTAATAATCCCTGAATGTATGTCTTTCAATACCAGCTTAGGGGTCATAGTCCATAAATGTACATGTTCTAATATAATAAATGTTTTTTAAAAAAAAGCCAAACTAGCCATGGGGAATCAGATTGAGAGTACCAGGTATATTGCAGTAATAATCAAAGAAGAATGACAATTACAACATATTATTATCTTATGTTGCAACAAGTTACTTCGAATAAGTACCTTTTTCCTTATTCCTTGCAGCAACTTGAATCTTTACACTACGTTTTCGTGTTGATTCTGTCTGACATGCCATAGACACACTTTTCTCCTCCTAAAATGAACAGAAAAAAGATTAATAAGTAATCCGTAGAAGTATAATTGTGGCCTGCATACTTTACAGCAATATTTTTATCTCTTTTCTTTAATAATACTCGTATGAATAGTACAATTTTTTCTTCCTTTCACTAAATTTAGAACAAGTGCAAGTTTCTGTTTTATTTCATAATAGTTTTCTCATACACATATGGACTTATTTGCATAGAGTCTAGTATTGTGGACATGTTAAGCAGGAAATTTAGATTTGGTTATTATTTACTTAGGGTCAAGTAATTTAAATTCAGAAGAAAACAGCGATGAAGAATGTAATAACCATCTCTTTTAATCTTATATCTGAACTGAATAAATCTTCATGATATTGTGAATAATGCACAGGATGCATGATAACATCATTTATATTTAACAAAATAATCATTGAACTTTTTTTTAAACGAGGCAAGCTGACAAATTTATACTACATTTTTTATTTCGTATATTTTTGTTGACCTAATCAATCTGTGCAGAGTTATCTTAATTATGCCCAAACAAAAGTCATAGGAGATGTCAATTTAAATAAACATATCTCTTACTACACATCGGATCCTCACCAATCTATCCTTGTTTAATACGCAATACAGTAATAACCAACTTATCAGTTGTAAAAATCATTCTTACATTCATGGTCCTCATGGGACTTAGAACCGAAAGTTGAATAGCAAGTTGAATACCGATCCCAATCGGAATCAAGATGAAGAATTTAACAGAAAAGAAATTGAGACAGAATTAGATGAGAATCTAGGATTTTTTTTTTAAATAATGGCCTAAAACAAGATAAATAAAAGATGCATCAGCATGTGGAATAAGAAGAGAAAATTTAATAAAATCATTCTTTCTTTTCAGTTGGTTTAGTACTACATATATTGTGTAAACATATATAAAGCTAAGGTGCAAGGAATGTAACAATTTACACATTTCTCTCTATTTTTTTTGTTGTTGTTCTTAAATATGTTATAACATACCGAAACAGGTGTGGGAAAGGGAACAGGCGTTGTTTGGATCCCAACACATTCATCCTGGTCTTGCGACTCTTCCTGTATTTCTTCAACCTCTGTGTTGTCATGAAGCAGCTCTGCCAATACCTGCGATAAAATAATGAACAACTTTTAACACAAGCAAATAATATAAATTTAAATAAGTTTAAGATATTTCAGTGAATACCCAGTGTAATTTACTTTCTGTTTAACAAACAAAGAACATGAAAGCATTTTTAGTGCAGATGAGGTCTTTTTTCTTATTCCGAATTTTCTCACCAAAAGTCTACAAATTTCTGAAGTTAATATTTTTTTATTATCGAATCACCACCATTTACAGATTAAAACAAAATAGAATAGAACAAAAAAAACTAACCCTATTCCTCTCACGCTTTGCATGGGCTCCTCGTACTGGAGTAGGGGTGTTTACATGGGGAGACTCCAGGAACGCATCGTTCAGTTGGTCTCTTTTCCGCTTCGGATATATGCTTGGTATGGACCCCTGGCGTAGACGCTTCTTCGCTGGGATCCCAAAGTCCTTCATGAGCGAGAAATGTACCTCATAGCAATCCTCGTTGAAATGGTCACTGCAGATAACGGTGTATTTCGAAGGACCAGACCAGTCTGCCCTCGTCAGCTTCACAAAACGACACCAGGCCGCTCGCAGTCGCTCATCTTTGGGGAAAACATGAACCGACACGCCATCTGACTGTCTTTTGCTGCATCCCGCTACAACACACATGCGTCCGACACTTTTGCTGGCCATTATTCGCCGGAAAACACGCACAGGTCAATAGAAGACTTTCTAAAAATGGCGCAAACTGATGTGTTGTGACGTCACTTCCGTTTTAGCTAGGAATAGCCTCGTTTTCGGTATCGTAAAGGTGTATATTTTTAAAATTTTCAGTTTTTTGGCAATATCTCCTTTATAAAATCGACTTCGTTGGAAAAAACTTGCTTTTCTAGATATTTTAATACTTAAACAAAATATATAATACCACTTTATCATCTACTTCCCAGTCACTTTAAACAAAGACGAAATGGGCTAATCATTGTTATCGAAGCAGTCCAACCTACTTCTTTTGTTAAAATGGGAAAACACATGTTCATATCTGCAGTTCATTTGCACCTATAACTATATATATCCACACCATTATGAATCTTGAGTTTTCTTGTTCTTTGCATTGACTACCTCTGTAAACAATTATGAGTACACATTTTAATAAATTCATTGACAAATGATAAGAACGAAAAATTTAAGTGCTTATAAGCAAGAAAACTGAAATAAATTAATTAATAATAAATTTAACAGAAGCAATAGACGACGATAACTTAGTCAAAATGTCTAATATCTTAACATAATATCTGGTGGTGCAACCTGTTTATTACCTTATAAACATTTATTAATTTAAAGCAAGAAAACTTGCAGCAAATTAATGCTTTCCAAGTTTCCCACGTGTCTTCCAGCTACACGGGTTTATTTACCCGTTTGGTACAATAGAAAGTTTTACCTTAAAGCTAGTGAATACACGCAAAGGGTATGAACTTTGACTAAAATTAGTAACACCCAAAAGGTTAACTTCCGAATTAATAGCCAATTAGAATTTAGATACTCAAACGTTTAAACATTACTGGAAAGATTTGATAGATTTGTAGTATCTTGTAAGGTTTGTAAAACTGTTCTGAAAAAACAAGACAACAAATGATCGGGCCTTTCATTTCTCTTTATCCCCTCTTTCTTTTTTTTTTTTTAGCAAATCCAAATAGCTGCTGCTTTCCTCCGCAACCTTGCTTGTTAGTCTCGATATCTCCTTCGGCCTTCGGGTATTCTCTGAATCGTCAAAAGTCCCTTGCCAAGGGTCCTGGATTTGAAGGTTCCTTACCAACCTGCCCAACTGAGGTAACATCTGTCTGGTGTCCAAGCCTCCCGTGGTGTCGTACCTGGTTCTTCCTGTTACTGGCAACATATCGACAGTTTTCTATATTACAGTGGTAAAATCTCCCTCTGTTCTTCGTGATACTCTTTCCAGTGTCCCTTACAGGCTCAATAGTTGGGAAACTAGGTGGTTCAACGGTCTGTGTTGCAGACCGTACCTCCTTCTTACCACACAGTCCTTATGTCTCGATCCAACTCTTTTATCTCTTTCTGAAATTGTTTTTCCCAAAACATCCACATAGAAAATATATCTGAAAACAGAGGGTAATATCTAACTTTAGTTGAGAAAAACATCATTCAACAAACAAGTTGGAACAAAGATAATTTGTAAGCTAGACATACTGTTTACACTTGTACGCTGTCGGGAAACTTTGGTGATGAGTTTATTAAAGCAAACTGGAATACAATTCAAATTTTACATGGGAATTTTAACTAGGTTCCCTAACAGTACTGACATATCTTTATGCTTATATTTAATGAAAAATTGTTTAATCCCATTCATAATGGTGTAGCAAACACACAACAGATTTTACAAGACCACTGACCAATAACAGACACTTTGAGTAAAAGTCCTCAATATCAATGACAACTCTAGCTTGATTTCTCTTAACTATCGTTATAAAAAGAAGATGAGGCACCAACCTCTGTGTCACTAAGGAACAGATCTTTTTTTTTTTCAAGTGTTTGCCCAACAATATGATGTGTTTTACATGCACATTCGTAAAAGACATATTGGCATTCTGCATTAAATAACATTAATTCCTCAACAATGTTATAATCAAAAATTGAGTTTTTATTACATAATTAATTGATTTTCCATCACTCTTTAATTAAGACAGAAAATAAATCGTCTTCAGACAAGAATCTGTCCAAAAATACAGCACGTGGATATTCCAAATTAATGTTCAAGTGACTCTCTAACGCTAATTGTTCAAAAACTTTTAAAACTCGGTAAACATTCTTGGCAACATCAAGAAGCTCCGTTTCGGATGTAAGATTTGTGATATTGTTTACTTTGGAACTTTTCACACACACAAAAAAAAAATTAACCAAGTCAGGTGCATTTCACAAATGAAATAAGGAAAGTCTCTTGGCTTCCTGAATCAAAATTAAAGATCTACATATCTGTGTGGATACATGCTGGATACCGTTGAACACTGTCAATAAATTTCCTCCAAATGTAGAAGTACCCAATAATTGACCCCAGTTTCGCATACTGATGGCAACATGCAACTGCTGTTGAACATTGAAACTCAACTTGCTGATTGTTGGGACTTCCTGAGAGCCTTCTGAGCACAGTCAATCTCTGCCAATGTTACTGATGACTGTAGCAGCGTGTACATAGCAAACACCTAATGGAAGAAATGGTTGACCTACTGTAGCGGAAGAATGCATCTTATAATAGTACATGCAAGTGCATAGAAAATTAGGAAAACTCTCCATTCCGATGCTTTTCAATATCACCGTGTGGGAAGAGATATGGCCGGCGTGTGATTTCGAAAGAAGACTTAAGTTTTAATATCTAATTATCCAGTTTCTGCCACTATCGTCCAAAAACGGATTCCCCGTATTATGCGTGTCAAACCAGAGGCTTGTAAACTGACGTGTCACACCCTGGCACAAATTGTGCAAGTAGTCTGGTTCAAAGCCTGCAACCATAAGCAAGCATAATGGACTTAATCCTTTAATTCCATCGATCACGCGAGATGTTGTGCGGATTAAGCGTCCATCTTCTAGCACTGATGCAGGGGTCCTCTCTCTGTTTGGATCAGAAGGATGGGCTCTAACACTCCTTTACTTACAACTTCCCCTGGATTTGGGCACCAATCACATCCAAACTGCCCATTAAATTGTTTAGAATTCCTCCGGGCTAGCTTTGATAAGGGTGTGTACCTACGGGACGAATTCACAAGAACACACTCTGTTCCATTAGTTTATTAGTAAAAGGCTACAAACAAAAGAAACAATTCACATTGAATCAGTAAAATGCACCAATGCAGACTAGACAATTCAGACATTTTAATTATGACAATGATGTGTTCCCATAGTATTTCAATATTTTAGGTAATAAAGATCGTAACTTGTTTCCATACTTTTTAAATCTAGTAGAAACAACGTGTATCATTTTCCATTCAATTTAAATACAAATGAAGCTTGATTTCACATCAAATAATGAAGAAAAATAAGGATTCGATTCATATCGACAAAATACAGCGTGATACTGTATGCATATACAACATTTCAATTGCAAACATCGTAATACACAAATGTGTGCACTAGGCAAAAAATAGGTCATGTCAGCCAACCGACAAATCTAGAAATTGTGCATCTCAACACAATATGCATTCTTATGCAACCTAGAATAATAATATATAATATACAATTAAATAATTTAAATTAAAAACTTGCACTATGGCCCAGCATAAATCACTGCTTATTCGCACAAACTGTATACAACGTGCTCGGATCTTGCGTGCATAATAAAACATAAGTAACTTTTACATAAAATAATCAATTTGCACATGAAATGTTTTGTGAACGTCACACTCCCCGCCTAATATCGTAAGGATATTTCTTAACGAGGCCGAGTCCAATTATTTCTACCCTAGAGATTTTGATAAATTTTCTTGAATTAATTTTGTCTTTTATATTTATTGTTTTAAGATTAAAAAATCGAATGTTTACCGTCCCGATTTCTTAGGAGGCCATCTCAAAAGTTGTCAAATTTTACCATTGGACTCTATTGGAATTTGTTGGAAAAGCGCCAAATTATCACATTTTCTCCATATTTTTTTGTATTTCTGCCCTAGAGATTTCTTTTTCAGCCAAGTACATGAAAGTTATTGTAAAAAGTCACCAAACTGTGAAATTTCAAAAAAGTTTACCATCTAGTTTGGTGTAGGAATTATTACAAAGATTATTTTTTCAATGCCCAATATCTCTAAAATTGTCATATTGCAGTATATGTATATATCGGTGCAGATGAATTATGTTGGTAAAAAAATATACATGTAGCAATTTTTAGATTGCTAGTATGTTTCCTTTGATGTTCTGTCAACAGTTTTTCGTAAAATATCCATGGACGTCTTGAATATACAAGCGAGTCATGTGTCATTCTTCAGCGCCATGCATTGCTTACAAATTTGGAAAACAGTGATGTCGTTTAGAGCCATTTCAGTGTTTTTTTTTTTCCTAATTATTGTCGTAAAAGCATAAAGTCAGACCAAAAGGTGTTACAGATAATGTTAATTTTGTATTAAAATCGCAATATTTGGGAAAGGTGTAATGTCGCAAATATGGCTGCATGAAATTAAAAAGCTGCGCAAAATCATGCGCACTCGAATTAGACTCGGCCTCCTTAAATCTAACATACAACATACAGGATTGTAAAAACCAACCAGAAGTCTCTGATGAGACTGTAGCTCTACTGGTCTGTACGTATAGCAAAGGAAAAGTAGCACTTGGATTTGAAACTTTGCAACATGCAACAATAAATAGAATAATGTCTCTTCATGTAGTCAATTTCTGTGCCAAGTTATATTGAAATCAAACGAAAACTGTTGGAGGAGTAGCGTTTTGAAAGTATTTCACAGAAATTTCTATTTTCAGTAACCATGACAACACCATTCACTGAAATCAAAAACCGAAATACATATTATGTATCGTAGTGTATTCAAATTGTGTGCCAAATTAGATTGAAATCAGACCAAAACTGTAGGTAGAGTACCGTTTTAAAGGAATTTCAGAAATTTCTATTTTAGTAACCATGGCAAAACCGTTCATTCAAATCAAAACTGATGCACTAAATTATGTATCATTGAACAGTCTACTTGGGTGCCAAGGTATATTGAAATCAGACCAAAACTGTAGGAGAAGTAGCGTTTTAAAGGAATTTCACAGAAATTTCTATTTCTAGTAACCATGGCAACACCTTCATCGAAATAAAAAAACGATGCACTTAATTATGTATCTTGTGTAGTCTA